CTCAGTTTTATCAGCACTTGAGACAGTTCTATCGTAGAAAATGGTGAGATTTGGGGATTTTTGGTTGTTTTGTTATTGTGTTTGTTGTTTTTTTGGTGTTTTGGGTAATTTTTAATGGTTTGGGTTGTTTTGGGGTGATATTTAGGAGGGTTTTGGGTGGTGGCGTTGTGATTTGAGGTGGTTTGGGGTGTTGGAGTGAGTAGTATTGTTAAATTATTGATGTTATTGTAGTTTATTATTATTTATTGTTGTTATTTATTATTATTTATTATTGTTAATTATTATTTATTATTATTGTTATTTGTTATTATTTATTATTATAATTATTGCAGGAACTGCCCTCTGAAACCACCCTATATTCAAGGAGTGGAATTGAATTTGTCACGGCTTTATTATACGGTTGTGTCGTTTGGAGGATGGCAGAAAGTTGGTATTTTTATATTTATTTATGAATTTTTATTATGGCTATTTTAGTGGTTCCGTCTGAACGCCAATTTCTATCTATGTGGCTCTCTCATTTTCCCGTACTCTCTAGCGATCCGTGTGCACTAGGGCAGACTAGAATCCCCGATTTGTTCGATTGATTATTTGGGAATGGAGGGGAGGGGCAGGGATTGTCTAATTTAGGGGGAGGGGGATTCCCCGAGGTGTCTGGTCGTGGGAACGGGCTGATTCTCACGCTCGGGGGAATCCCCTGCCGTCTGGCGGAATCAGCTGATCGAGACAGGCTGGTGGTATTTGGCGGCAGTGGTGGGTTTTCCCGCGCTTCCTCTTTTCCCGTCTTTCTGTCTGTCTGTGTGTCTCTCTGCTTTTCCCATGCTCTCTGGCTCCCACCTCATTTTCTTTTTCACTATTTTCCTCGTCATTTTCCCGCTCTCTCCCTCTCCCTCTTTCTTTGCTTCTCTCGATTTTGCGCACTCACTCGCGTTGTCTTACACGAGATTAGAAAATATTTCATTTACTTCGATGCTTGAGCGTAGAAATTAGAGGCTGGGTTAGCAGACAGTTAGAGAGAAAGAGAGGGATAGAGAGATAATGGTTTTGTGAGAGGGAGCAGACGAAAAAGATACGATTAGAGATTCATTCGTTTTTGACTGAGGGTATGTTTATTATTGTTATTATTATTATTATTATTATATAATAATTATTGTATAATTATTATTGAAGGTATCACAAGGAGAGAAATGGGGGGACGTAGCCCAGGCGATGGGGGTCTCAGAGGGGGTGGCAGTCTCCGAATACGCGGTGAAGGTGTTGTATATGAGGTGGGGAAATTTTATTATTATTATTATTATATATTGTTGTTATTATTAATTATTATTATATATTATTATTTATTGTATATTATTATTTATTGTTGTATATTATTATTGTAGATATCTATCGAAATACGAACAGAACGAGTTGGTGGGGGATGCGGAGGATACGGAAACGGATTTATTGGGGTCGAGGAGCCGGGGGAAGGGGTTCTCTTCGCTGGCCACTGCGGACTGCCCTGTGAGTGTGACGAATAGACAGAATTATGGTGGGTTTATTATTATTTTTATTGTATATTTATTTATTATTATTGTTATTTTTATTATATTTATTGTTTATTTTTGTTATTTATTATTGTATTTATTATGTATTTGGTTATTATTACTGTTATTTTCATCTATTATTGTTGTTATTTAGTATATTTTAATGTTATTGTTATTTATTATTATTATTGTTTTAGACTTTTTTCGAGTGAGGACGGATAGAAAGGAGGCGGAATATGACCGAATAGTGAAGAGTTTGATGAGTGGACTGCCGAATGAGGTGGGTTGTTTATTTTTATTATTATTTATTATTGTATATTGATAATTTTAATGTATATTATTATGTATTATTTTTGTTTTTATAATAATAATTAT